CTTCATTCAGAAGGAGAACCCGGGGCCCCCGGTGAGTAGCGCCCCCTTCGCCGCCGCCGCCGCCCCCCTCCGCTTTCCCCCTTCCCCTCCAGCCACGACGGCCGGCGGCGGCGCCTTTGCTCGCCCGGTGCTGGCGCGGAAACTTTCCGGCGAGCGCCGTTCCCGCTCCCCGCGGCCGGACCGTCCGACCGACCCTTCTGGCTCTTAGGCGGGCGCCCGGACCAGCAGGCGGCACCCTGGAGCGTCTAGGATAGGGCGCACCGCCCGGCATGGGTGCAGAAAACTGGTTTCAAAAGTAGACAAGTTAAAAAAACAAAAGGGGCGGCAGGTGGCCCAAAACTGCGGTGCTTCCTCGCCTGCCACCCCTCGGTTGTCATTTTAAACTTTTCTGCGTTTTTACTTAGCAAAATTTCAAACGTTGATGGCGGCTGGTCAGGATGAGGACAAGCCTTGGACACCGACCCTTAGCTGGCCTGCTCCCCCCCCCCCAACTCTTTACCGTTTGGCGAATACTTCTCTGAGCCCTAGGTCATCAATCAGCTTGCTATCAGAGCCTTAAGGCTCCAGAGGCAGGAGGGGCACCTGGTGGTTCCATTTTGGCTCCAAGCTCCGCGTTGTCACCTCTGAAATGTTAGGGTGGCATTGCTAGCATTCCTTCTTTGGGGCCACTTTGCAAACCAGAGCTCCCGCTCCCTGGTCCTTGTAGGGGATGGGACTTCAGCTGGTCGCCGGAGCCGAGGTTCCTGCTCAGACAGAGGGGAAGTTACCCGTGGAAAGGAAGAGACTCGAAGACAGATATGGGCCATGGGGGCTTGTGGGGCAGGGCACTTTTTAGGTTGTTCTTTTTGCTTGCCTTTCTCATAACGGGGGATTCTGGTGCAACCACACAATCCACATAGTCAGCGGAGCTGCTAGAGAAAGAAGCTGGTGGGAAGGCATCGTGAGCAGGAGGCACCCGGTGGAGAGGGAGAAGACGAAGTGGGTGTCCCAGAATCGGATAGGCTGCTTGTTTCCCGGTCCCGCACCTTGACCACGTCCCCCGACACAACACAACCTTGTGCTTCTCTTTTCTGCAGGCCTATTCCGCTGTGGTGGCGAAGCCATCTAGCACAAGGAGATTTCTAAGAATTGGGGCCATTGCCCTCATTGGAGGAGCCCTCCTCCTCCTCTTTGGAGCCATTGGCGCCTTTTATTACTGGAAGGTGAACGACAAAGAGGTAAGGCGCTCCGGGATTTCTGCCTCTCCTTTGGATCTTGTTCCCGGTGCTGTCCCCTGTGCAGGGCCAGCTCCTGGGCTGACTGAGGCTGCCGTTTCAGATTGTTGATTATACAGGTCACAAAAGCAGGTGGGAAATCATTGAAACGTTTCATTAATTCCTGTTTTCTTTTACCATTATGAACCGTCAATGTTGTGTGTTTTTTTTGGGTGGGGGAGGTTCTGTGTCACTTCCCAAAATAATCAGGCTGCCTCTCAATAACATAGCCAGGGAAAGGATCTGCACGTTCCCTTT